CATTTACATTGTACAATTAGGATTGCAATGGAAGTGACTCAAATTTCACTTAAATTACAAACTTAAAACTTTATTATACTAAATTTCTCAATTATTTGGCTTCTAATATTTTTATAATACCATAAATCAATATATAATTATCAAATTTTTAGATGAACCATATCAACAATGAATATCTAAATATGTTAATAAAGTATGATAAAACTTGTGGTGCTTGTTCAAAAATCCAAGCTCCACTTATAACTTCTTGGCCTCTTAAAAATAAATTTTATTTAACAAATTCAATAAATTAAGTCAATAATAGTAATTCTTCAAAGAAAAAATAAAATAATAAATTATCTAAATTAAAAACACAAGCTAACCTAATACCTTAGATAATAGTATGTACAACATTTTTAAATAAAATAAACCAAAATATGTTAAAATAAAAAATCAAATGAACTAACAATCATTATTTTATATAAATTAATCACTAATTTTTTTCTTCTTTGCTAACTCCTTCAAAAAGGATATCTACCTAGCTTATATTTTTTATTCTATTTGCCTATAATCCTAAACTTTACTTCTATAGTCTTTAATAAACTTCCAATTTTTTTAATCCAAATATAATCTTTATAATAGTATTTTTTTATAAATAAAAAATCCAAATCTAGTTTCTATGTTTACTGATGTAAATTCTTTTTCTTCTTCCATTTCATCCAAACCGTTTTGAACTTCTTATTCAAAACCATTTTGTACAAGATCATCTTTTAATTCAAGAATTTTTTTGGTTTGAACTTAAAGCATACTTGGCACTCCATTAGAAATAATCAAATTATCTACTACATTGAAGTATCTTCCATGCCTTCTTATGTGCTCTATTCTATATTCACCTCTTAAAATTTTAGAAGTTATTATTTTATTTGATAGTCAAGGAAATATATCAACCATAAGCTTTACATAATTATCATGAAATTAATAGAATGCCATTACTATACCATGGAATATATTTTTTTAACATTTCATAGAAATTATACAAAATAAAGAATGTCACCTACCTCAACTTTGGTTTTTTCTATACAAATTGACTTGAAATTGGCCTTAATATCATTCAACTTGGTCTTCAATTCTTCCAAGTCTTTTTTTGGTCCATCATGTTTTTTTGCAAAAAAATAGATGCATTATTTGTAGCCTTCAATTCTTTTTCAATTCCAAAATAATTAAATTTGACTATGATGATTATATGTTGTGTTACTTTAAAAAATAAGAAAGAATAAAATAAAATAAAATAAAATAAAATATTAGATTTTAATATTAAGCCAAGGAAGTTATGTATTCAGTATAGAAGAAGATATTTGTAAAAGTTACCTTGATATAAAAGCCTTTTATTTCTTTAATTTGATGCTATAAAAATACAACATTAAAAATAATCTAAACCACTTTATAATCCAATGATAGAGCCAAAACTCTTTTTATATTGCAATTGCTTAAAAAACAAGATGCAAAGATGTATCTCACTTTTTTATATCTAATACAATCAAAGATATAAAGTTTTTAAATTCTTTTAGAAATAATAATAAGGTTTTGTATTTTTATATATTCAAATTTATAAAAAATGTGAAACTACCAAATTCTTTTGGCAATAATGTTAAATTTAAATATTCTTCTATAGCCAATTTAATCAAAGATGTGATGTTTTTCAATTCTTTTAGCAATGATGAGAAGCTTGAATACCATCTTGCATGTACTAAAGTCAAAGATGTGAAGTTGTCCAATTCTTTTGACAATGATGTCAAGCTTAAACATCTTCTCATATCTAATATAATTAAAGATGTGAGGATGCACAATTTCTTTGGTAATGACATTAAGCTTAAACACCCTTACATGTCTAATGTAGTCAAAGAAGTTAGATTTTTTTATAGATTTTAAAAATGGATTCTAAATTTGAATAATCTTTTCAATTTAGACT